GGAAAAATACAAAATATAGAAACAACATTAGACACTGCTATGACACGTAAAGTTGAACAAAATAGGCAAAAATTAATCCCTATTATTGAAACCATACTATTTTGTGGCCTACAAAATATATCCTTACGCGGTCATAGAGATGATGGTTCTATAAATTCTGTTGATGACGATATCAAAAATCAAAAAGGAAATTTTAAGGCTTTATTAGAATTTCGTATTAATGCTGGAGATCAAATTCTAAAAGAGCATTTCAAATCTGCAACAAAAAATACTACCTATATTAGTAAGACGACGCAAAATGATTTAATTGATTGCTGCGGAAATGTTATAAGTGATAAAATAATTCAAAAAGTTCATATTTCAAAATTTTATAGTATTTTAGCTGATGAGACGACTGACGTAAGTATTTCTGAACAATTTTCATTTTGTGTTCGGTATTTTGATTCGGACACATGCTCAATACGGGAACATTTTCTTGGATTCACAAAGGTTGAACATGTAACTGGTGAATATTTAGCTGACACCATTATACAAATATTAAAAGAAAAAAATTTAGATCTTGCTCTGCTTCGAGGACAAGGATATGATGGTGCCGCGAATATGAGTGGTGCGTTTAAAGGAGTACAATCTCGAATTGCAAGTTTACAGCCTCTTGCATTTTATACTCACTGTGCCAACCACAGATTAAATTTAGTGCTCAGTAAAGCAAGCACTGTACCTTCAATTCGCAACACAGTCGGAATAATAACAAATATTTATAACTTCTTAAAGGAATCTGCTTTAAGAACTCAACTTTTGAGTGAAAAAATGACAGAACTTTTTCCACATCAAAAAGCAGTAAAAGCTAAAAAGTTGTGTGAAACACGTTGGGTCGAAAGACATGATGGAATTTTACATTTTTTGGAAATATTACGAGCTATAATAGTTACATTAGACGAATTAAGCCTTAGCAACCATACAGGAAGCAATGCACAATCTCTATCTGCAGCTATTTGTAAATTTGAATTTTTGATTTCCTTAAAAATATTAACGAAATTTTTAGCCATAACACTTCCACTTTCAATGCTGTTACAGAGTATTAATATTGACTATACACAATCGATAGAAATGATCAACAATGTTAAAAATGTATTAACTACAATAAGAGAAAATTCAAAAACGGAATTTAAAAACATTTTTGAAGAAACAACATTAATTGCAGGAAAAATGGACGTTGATATAAGGATTCCAAGAGTAACAAAAACACAATGTCATCGTGCAAACGCTAAGCCCCAATCAACTGATTTATCTGAATTCTACCACGTTAACTATTTTCTACCTTATTTGGATTATCTTATGTCAGAACTAAATTCACGTTTTAATGAAAATAATGATTCAGTTATTACTAATTTAAAATTAATTATTCCTAAATATTATTTTACTTATGAAACTTCAGACGATAAAATATTGAATGCGGCCAAGACATATGAAGCAGATTTACCTCATAGTATTGAAGCACTACGCGGTGAGTTAAATTTATGGAAACAATTTTGGAAAAATAAACCAGAAAAGGCTGATTCTTCAATGGAAGCTTTTAAATATGCATCTATGTTTCCTAACATTAAATGTCTTTTAACAATTCTTAGTGTGATATCTATAACAACAGCAAGTGCTGAAAGGTCATTTAGTTCTTTAAAAAGAATTAAAACTTACCTACGATCGACAATGAGCCAGGAAAGACTTAACGGCTTAGCAATGTTGCATATAAATAAAGATATTCAAGTAAAACCAGGAGAAGTACTAGATGTGTTTGCTAAAAAACATAAACGAAAACTTCAATTCGACCTATGAGGCAATATGAGAACCTATAAAAATATTTTTACTTATTTACTTATTAATGACTACATATATGTATAAATTATTATTATATGGTATGTGATATTATGTAATCAACATTATTATTATCATTATTATTATTATTACCAATTTTGTTTAAAAATAAGAGTATGTATTATTAATTATATCATCWAAGAATCATTATATAATTTATATGTGCCCCCCCCTATCAAAATATCCAAGATCCGCCCCTTTGAATAGGACACCTTGGTGTATCCTTAAACATAGAATAAAGTATAAATCATTATTTAGTCATGTAAATATAATGAATTACAATAAATTATTAAATATGGGAAATAGTACAAAAAACAAATTAATATTACCTTATTATTTTTATCTTCCCAATAAACATATCTTGCTTTAGCTTTCCTTATAATACATTGATCCTCCACAGTTAGTTCGCCAATTTTGAGACCATTTAAAATTTCCAAAAATTTACTGTGCTTAGGACACCACCATTCAGTACAACTCTAATAAAATACAAATT